CACAGAGCAGCTCAGGACCGATGCCCGCCAAGCCTGTGGAGGCCACAGCCGCTGTATTGGGGCCCCGGCCCGGCTGCACCAGCCTCGAGGCCTCCCTGGGACAGCGGGAGATCGTGGCTCTTTCTCCCTAAGGAGCTCCCAGGTCTCCTTGCAGAGCCCCCAGAGTGCTTCCCTCCTGCAAGCCCCCACTTGTTGGGCCTAGAGGCACCCCCACTCTGCTGCCCAGGGCTGGGGCCCTGGCCCCCATCATCCTTAGACTTCAGGTCTAAGTGGATGGCCTACCAGTCTGTTCTGGACACCTGGGCACTCAGCCGGGGACTGTCTGGTGCCTGGGGCCAGCTGGCGGTAAGGCTGTGCCCCTCCTCTCTCCAGACCCCACTCTCTGACACTCCCCACTGCGGCCTCTGGTAGTGCCTCCAGCTCCCGGCATGAGCAGGGCACCCTGTCACCCCCAAAGCTGTGCTCTGGCGCCTGGCATCCGTTTCTTCTCCCACCCCCCCGACATCAATGGGCGCCAGCTTCACATCCAGTTTGGATGCTGCAGGCAGCCCGGGCTCCCAGCCCCATCCCTGGGGGACAGTCCGACGTGATGGCCACTCCGCAGAGACTTTCCATAAGATGCCCTGTGTCCTAATGTGTGGAAGACTTTCCCCAGCAGCGCGGGTGACCGGCTGGGGAGATGTATTCATAGCCCCTGGGACTGTTGCGATACGAAACATGCCTTCCGCTGGCCGCTCGTCTGGCAGGGACCCTGGGTTCTGGGTGGCCCCAGTGGCTCCTCAGGAAAGGCTGGATGTGTCCTGGGGCTGACCCTCTCAGGGCAGCAGTCCAGGGTGGCCTCCGGGTGCAGTGGAGAGCCGTCTCCTTTCTTACTGACTCCAGAGCCTTTTAGAAAGGGAGGAAACGAGAGGGGGTAACTCAGGAAACTCTTCCCGAGGCGGGGACTCCTTTCCTGCCCACCTCACATGCGATCCCACGGCCCCCAAGACTTGAGGAAGCAGGTAGGGCACCCGGCACTGGGACCTCTGATGTCACCAGGGGCAGGTCTCCACTCCACACCTGCCTCCGAGATGGATGTTTCTCTGCTTGAGTGATGGAAAGCTGGAAGCCTGCAGGAGGCTGTCGGTGAGTCGCGTGGTGTCTCTTCGTGTGGCATTTGTCTTGAGAAAGCATCTTCCTAACAAACACCTCCAGCACCAGGAGTCAGTGTGAATGCACTGCTGTTCTGAGTCATCGGGAGATACTTGAATGTACGAGGTGAGCGCATTCAGGATTCCAGAGGAAGCGACAGTTTATAGTGATCACTGACCCCACGCTACACAGGAAAGGAAGTCTTGTCTTCTTCTCAGCCTTCTAGATATTTAACAAAACCTGAGAGGAGCACGAGCTTGGATGCCCTGCAGTCCTGGCGTCTGTGACGTTATAGAGAACGACACAGATCTTCAAATGTACGATCAAGCCAAAGAAGAGTAATGAACCCCAGGAATGCCAGCTTGGCACCCAGATTTAACTGCCAGCACAGCACCTTTATTTATCTTGTTATGAAACTGGAAATGACTCAGATCTCCCTCAACAGGTGAACGAAGCAAGAAATGCTTTCACACAAGCAGGAATGCCGCTCAGTAAAGACAATGAATAACCTGCTGTTCTTATTCAGGTGCTCAGTCGTATCCGACTCTTTGTAACCCCATGGACCGCAGCATGCCGGGCTTCCCTGTCCTTCACTACCTCCCAGAGTTTGCTCAAACTCATGTCCACTGGGTTGTTGATGCCTTTCAACCACCTCATCCTCTGTCGCCCTTCTCCTCCTGTCCTTAATCTTTCCCAGTTTCTGCTGAAAAACACAGAAACGGAGATCCTGTCACTGACTTCCTGCTGAGAGAATGAAGCTACACACACAAGTACCTCCCGTACAATTCTGCACATAGAAGTTCTAGAAGAACCAGAGATATCTGTGGTAATGGAAGTCAGACCCGAGATAGCCTGTGCTGGAGGAGACACAGCCACAGACAGACTCAGGGTAGGCTGGCTGGGGCCAGATTGTTCTGTATGATAATGTAGGACTTGGTTGCACAAGGTGTATATATTTTTCAGAATTCATCACACTGCACTTAAATCAGTACATGTCGTTAGGTGTAATTTATAGCTTGATATAGTTCAGTTGAAATAAAAGAGTAAAGTGGAAAGACCTCAGCCGTTCAAAGAAAAAGTAAGACAGGAATACCTAAAAAAATGGCTTCAAGTCTCCTATCTGAACACCAAGTTTTAAAACACTGAACATTTTTCTTGGAAAAGGTGACTTAAAGACACATACCAGCCCCAAGAAATGAGACAGCTGTGGAGCGGGAGGCGCACAGGTGGAGTGCTGGGGAACAGGGAGGCGTGCCCTCACTCATTCCCAGCTCATATTTGTGAGTTCAGGGATGGCGTGATCGCGGGGTGCACAGGTGGAGTGCTGGGGGACAGGGAGGTCTGCTCACACTCCTTCCCAGCTTATATTTGTGAGTTCAGGGATGGCGTGATCGCGGGGTGCACAGGTGGAGTGCTGGGGGACAGGGAGCCCTGCCCACGCTCCTTCCCAGCTCGTATTCGTGATTCAGGGATGACGTGATCGCGGGGTGCACAGGTGGAGTGCTGGGGGACAGGGAGGTCTGCTCACACTCCTTCCCAGCTTATATTTGTGAGTTCAGGGATGGCGTGATCGTGGGGTGCACAGGTGGAGTGCTGGGGGACAGGGAGCCCTGCCCACGCTCCTTCCCAGCTCGTATTCGTGATTCAGGGATGGCGTGATGGTGCGGTGCACAGGTGGAGCACCGGGAAGTGTGGAGGTCCGCCCTCACTTGTTCCCAGCTCGTATTCGTGAGCTCGGGGATCGTGGCTTTAAGGCAGCCTTGGCTGACACTCACCCCACGGAATTCCTCCTTGCTTCCTCCTCTGTGGCGCTTGGTCCTCTGGCAGTAAGCCCCACAGGGAGCCTCCCGTCTTGCTCAGGATCCTGAAGGACAGGTGAGATGCTGTCCTAGGAGGCCAGTGTCCGAGCGCCACTGCACCGTCTGAGCTCAGAGACACCAAGGCATCTCAGAGTCACAGCTCCGCGGGTTGGTGGGTCAGGTTCGAATGTTTCAGAACCAGGATGGCCCTTGGCTCCTTATCCCCTGCACCTGTGAAGGCATCATAAGTCAGAAGGAAGCATGTTTTGTCCCCGCCTTCTCTGCAATTGGCAGTTCCCCCTGTATGCAGCTTGCCGGCCTTTTGGGCTGTTCGTTTTGCAGTTTGTGTTGGAGGAGAACTGATGAGCGATGCGGGGATGGTCTCAGGTGCGCAGCAAAGTGATTCAGTCACGCGTGTACCTGTGTCTGCTCTTTACCGAATTCTTTTCTCCATCAGATTGTTGCCGAGTGTGGAGCCGAGTTCCCTGTGCCGCAAAGCAGGGCTCAGGGGAGCGACCCCGCCGAGCTCTAGTGTGCGCGGGCCGCCGTCCGTCCGTGCAATAGCGCAGCCCCAGCGCCGCCCGCGCCGCCCGCCGTCGGGGGGACCCCGCCCCACCCTCGTGACGGCAGCGCAGGGCGGAGCCTGGCCGCCCGGGGCTGGGCCTTCCTGCGCTCGGCGGGTCTGGGCTTGCCGCCCTGGTCGCTGGCTTTGGCTGTGCCCTGGGCATGCGCACCGAGTTCTGTCCGCCTGTCCCTAAGCCGGAAGCTGCTGGGGCTCCCGCCTTTGTCACCGGAAGCCACAGCTGCTGCAAGGATACTTCTGGAAGGGGAGGCAGAAAGGGCCAGCCGCCCGCTACTGGGGGCGGGAAGCCGCCGGCCCCGCAGGGCTGGCACAGACCGTCTCTGACCCTGCGGCTCACCGGGCACATGCGGCTGTCACGTCTAAGGACATGGTTGCTTGCGTGGCTTCATTCAGCTCTTCGAGCATCTTCCCCATAGCTGATGGTGAGCGATGCTGCACTCATGCTCTCTGAAGAAGATGCTTTAGCTTTGGGACCAGGGACCAGGCTTGATCCCTCAAGAGCTTTTTGTGTAGCAGAGTTTATTAAAGTGTAACAAGGGACAGAGAAAGCTCTGACACAGACATCAGAAGGGGCTGGAGAGTGCCCCCCTTGCTAGTTTTAGCAAGGGAGCTGTGTACTTTTTCAGTTGGTTATTACAGTAACTCAAAAGAACGTCTCAAGGTTGCAAAGATCTTACCAGACCCACTTCCACAATTTACGTTTTAAGATGGCAGGATCAGTCGGAAGGCTCTCAAGAAGGAGAAACGTGTCCTCAAGCAGGGTACCTTACTGTTATCTAGTCACTGGTACAGAGTTTAAGATGAGTTGTTTTGCTGTGTAATCAGCAGCTCTGGGCTTAAAGAAGAAAACGTTTTATGTGACTAAGACTAAGGAAGGTAGAAAAGAAAGTTTGTCTTTCCCTCCTCTCTGAGAGCTCCAGACCTCTTTCTTCTCTTTGGGGACCCTGAGCTTCTTATCCACCTAAGAATTAAATCTCACTCCCCTTACCCACAGGCCCCACCCTGCCAACAACCCTGCTCCCTTTGGACAGACGCTGAGAGCTTTGCCATTAGCTAATAAGCTGGGCTTGTGACTGGTCACCTGTTAGGGTCTTGTCAACATTAATATGTATGAATCCCACTCCGATTTGACCTTCTGGGTGTGGGAGGCAGCTCACAGCCTGTCTGACTCTCAGCCTTCCCCAGGACCCCGGGTTCCTCCCAGTGCCAGTCTCCGCCCCCAGCCTCTTCCTCTCTTCCCAAAGAGAGACTTTTCTCTCTTTGGTGCAGTATTTTGTTTAAAAAAATAGATGAAGAATATAGTTTACTTTGAACTAGAAGAGCACTCATTTCTCCCCAGAGCTCTGAGAGCACACGCTCTCTTGCCGCGGCTGAAACGAGTTAAATTTGAGTTTGCAGACGTGATGTTGGGGTCTGTCAGGGCCCCTCCCTGTTTCCGGTGCTCTCGACTGATCCTGTGACCCTTGGTTCTCGTCTGTTCTGCACAGGCTCCGTCCTCGCCTTCCTCGCCTGTAGCTAATGAACCAAAATACGAGAAGCGCTGGCTAGACGCCCTGTCACTTCCTCTGTCCATGGCCCGAGTCTCAAGGTGCAGAGCTGGAGCGGACACGTTCAGGTGTGTGACCGTGGTCTGGAGGGGGACGCGCCGATAAACCCAGAGGTGCCTGCCCTGGTCACCCGGTGGATTCAGCGTTTGCAGAAACAGTAATCGTCTTCATGATAGTCACACACTATCGGAGCAGGAGCCGACTTGTCAGGAGTGGGCCTGTCTAGCGGTGACTGTTGTTGTTCCCTCTTCTGAGATGTGGTCATTAGCAGAAGAAATCATATTTCCAGTTTCAAATGCGAACAGAATTAGGCTGAATGTAAGACTGCGCTCTCATCCAAGGTGGATCCAGTTACAGAAAAGTCCTCTCACCAGCCCTCCGGGCCTCTTTTCCTTCATTAACAAAATGAGAAGCCTAGACCAGACCTCTGTTCAACGGATGTTAGTCTGTGAGCCTGGCTGATGTAGTAACTTCAGTTTCACCATTAAGGGCTGGGTGTTCGTCACTGTTTCGTGGAAACGCTATCGTTTTCCCCGCCGAGTTAGTGCAGAAGTCACCTGTGGCTGACGGCCGTCAGGGAGGCTGAGACTCCAGTGGTGGTGCGTTTCCTTTCTTTCTTAAGGTGCGTAGAGGCTGGGTGAGCACAGGAAGAGAGCTCGAGGTTTGGAAACAGCCCTTTCCTTGATGAAATGCTCATGCCTGTCGTGGCCGCTTTCAGGTAAACACAAGGCATCTGCAGGAGGAAGGTGCCCAGAAGGCCCCCCCCGAGTCAGCCACACACCCCTCCTGTGCCTGAGATGTGCTGTCTCGGCCAACAGCAAACCAGAGGCTTCCCTGTGGTTTTAAGAAAGCTTGTTGTTGTTATCGCTAAGTTGTGTCCGATTCTTTGTGACCCTGTGGACTGTAGCCCACCAGGCTCTTCTGTCCATAGGATTCTGCAGGCAAGAACACTGGAGTGGTTTGCCATGCCCTCCTGCAGGGGATCTTCCCTTCCCAGGGACTGAACCCACGTCTCCTGCATGAAGGCAGGTTCTTTACCAGCTGAGCCACCAGGGAAACACTTGACAAAAGCAAATACGTCTTACCAGCTCTGCTGACTCTTTTATGACTTTAATATGGGCAGGAAAGTACACAAAGTAAAATGACTAAAATTCTGCCTTTTATAGTGTGTTTGTCAGACACACAGCAGTATTAAAGCGACGTCTGGAGGCTGAGCGGATGCTGGTCCCCCTGCCCTGTAACCCTCTGGCCCCACCTTGAAGGGGAGGAAAGGGCAGGCATGTTGCCTGAAGCAGCCTGAGTTAGTTCTGTGGCTCCTGGGGACCCTGGCTGCGAGACCTGCAAGGAGCAGTTTAGAAGCTGCAAACCCCAAACCAGATGCTTTCAAAGTCAAAGGCTCTCAACTACAGCCTGGGAAGGACTTTGAGGAGATCCTCTGAGTGGATAAACATAAGTGGGATAAGCAGGTCAGAGGTCAGCACCCTGGGGTTCCTGTTATTGTCCAGTAGTAGGACCAAAATGTATCACCACCTCCTGCACATTTGCCTTTTTTGAAAGTTCAGCTCAGTCGCTCAGTCGTGTCCGACTCTTTGCAACCCCATGGACCGCAGCACGCCAGGCCTCCCTGTCCATCTCCATCTCCTAGAATCCACCCAAACTCATGTCCATTGAGTCAGTGATGCCATCCAACGATCTCATCTTTGGAAGTTATTTGGCCAATAATGGTTGAGGTCCCTTGGTTTTCTGAAATTTTTCCCCAAAGATTCTATAAAAAGCAGATGCATATTTAAAGCTAACATTTGAAATTTGTTTTGAAATGGTAAAAGTCAGTTTTAACAAATATGACTTTGCCCCTGGGGCCTGCAGGGGTATCTCTGGCCAGAGGGCCTCTGGCACCTGCTCGCTGTCAGGAGATTAGAGTCAGATGTTCTCAGGCACAGTGGGAGCTAGGCTTTTGCTTAAGCGTCATGTCACCATTAATGAAGGTTAAATCATTGAATGCACAAGACAGAAAAAGATGCTTCTGTAAGAATCTGGGGGAGAATGTCTGGATCAAAAGGAAACCAGGCGTAGAAGCAGCACCGCGTTCAGGCAGGAGGTTGGCTGACACTCTGTAGGCAGGGCTGCCCCCGGCGCTCCCAGGCCACGTCTGCAGATGCTGGGACGTGGCCACGCGGCCTCGCTTTTGGCTCCGCATGTAGAAAAGTGTGCTTCCTAGTGGGCCCGACAGCCGTGAAGAAGGCAAGAGACTTCTGAGCAGGCTCTTATCCGTTTTTCTTTGCTAGTCCGTGCAAATTTAGCTTCAGAAGTACACATTTATCATCTCACAGTCTCCACGGGCCAGCTGATGCGTGTGCTGGGGTCTCTGCAGGCTGGCCTGGGGTGGGGCCGGGCTGTGCTCTCGCCTGAAACCAGGTTCTCTCGGGCTGAGGGCGGCATTCAGTTCCTCAGGTTTGGGGGCTGGGTCCCCATCTCCATATGCATTCCACCCTCTGTCAGGCAGCAGCAGGTGGCCTCTTGTCCTGGGTTCCTGACTTCCTGTCTCTGATCTCCAGGCCTCATGGGAAGGACTTGAGACAACATTGGGCCAGCTGGATAGCTGTCCTAATTTAAGGACAGCTGACTTCAGATCTTAACTACAGCAAGTCCCCTCCGTGCAAACAAGTTCCAGTTCAAGAGCAAGTTCTTAAGTCTAATTTGTTCACATTAAGTCCAACAAACTTTGCCTAAGTACCCAACTAACACAGTCGGCCAGATCGTGCTGTGCTGTGATGTGTTTATAACACTGTTCACACAAATAATACATAACAAACACACACAAAAATGAAGAGAGCGTTGTTGATCTCGCAGTTCAGTGCCTGGAGAAGTGCGGCAGTCCGGGACATCGGCTGGCACACGGGACCGAATCTGGTGAACGGGGGGAGAAGGGTGATGCGGGGACAGTGGAGCTGAGGGACCCGCAGCAACAGGAGACGGGGGGGCGAGCTGCAGGTCCGCCCCACCGGCGCTGGCAGGGTGCATGGCCACGGCTCTGAGGTTTGCATCCTGAAGGCTCACGTGTAGAGGCTTACTGCCCGCTCGCAGAGCCCCGGCAGCAACTCAGAGCTCCGTGTCCGCAGAGCCCCCGGCGTAGCTGTGGGCTCGGAGGCTGGGAGCCCCGCCAAGGGCCCTGCACGGTCAGACCCGGAGCCTCGGTTCAGGAATCGGTCCATTGAAGATGCTCTTGGCCTCGCTCTGCAGTTGCGTGTGAGCTCACGCGGTCCCCATGACAGGTCCAGTTTAGGTGCCCAGACCTGGGCTGACAAGGCGCCCACTTAGTGTCTGTATTTCAGAAGCTGAGGGGAGGGACTGTCCTTAAGAACAAGGGGAACGTGTGCTTTAGAGACGTCCGTAATGGGTCCAGCCACGGGCAGGGGACTTTAGATGCTCTGAAGCCTGGGCCTCTGGACTTGGGTCAGTGGCTTTACCTCCAGGGGGTAATGTGGAGGATGTGGAGGAAAGAGCAGGTTTGGAGGGAACCAGCTATTATCCCGCTTCGTCCGTGGGGCTCTTGGGGCCTTGGGAGCCGCGCCTGACGGCCCAGTGGGCAGAAGACACGGGAGTGCTCCTCTGCTTTCTAAGGTCGTTTTATGGAGAAAACGTGAAATAGCACGGGGTTTATGGGAGCTTTTAAACTCCTTCAGGAGTGTACTGACAGCTGTGGGTTCGTTAGCAGCTTGTGGGGTGAGGAGTGCCCGGATAGGGGCAGGGAGACAGTCTGATCAATTCCCACGGCGTCTGCGTGCCTGTGGCTTTGGGGGATTCGGTGCCCGAGGCGCTGGTCCTGTGGTTCTGCCCAGATGAGCCCCGCCCAGGTCTCCAGCTTCACGGTGGCCTCAAGAAGTGCAGGGAGTCCCTTCCTTTGTTCCTCTTTCTAAGGGAGGGTGGAGGGGGGGAACTAAACAGTGTTGGTCTGTTTGTCCCCCATCGTCCATGTTTGTGAAAGTAACAGAGATCTGACGGCTTGTCACTGACAATAAGACCCTGTTTGACTGGGTCGGGGGTGTCGTTGTTTCAGAGGAAGGCGCGTGGATGGGACCCAGGGGCTGCAGCCGCGCTGGGACAGACTGCAGATTACGTACTGTGAACAGCGATGCTGGGAGTCAGAAGGATCCCACTGGTGCCTGGTTTGTTTTGCTAAGGATGGCTTCATGTTTAAACTCTCGTGCCAAGCTCCCCCCTGTTTACTTGGGAAATCCTGAAAGCACAGCTCGCTTGGTGGGGAAACAGCGTCCCGGGGGCTGTAGGCATCTCCACAGGAGGACGGCCTTCTGCAGGGTGGGGTCCTGTTGGGAGTCATAGCAGGGCCAGGTCAGGGCCCGCTCTGCACTGGGGCTTGGAGAGTGGGCCCCTGTGGTCGTGGCTGAGCTTGCCTTGATCCGGGAGGGTGCAGGCTGGGGGCTGTAGGGCTAGGGCAGGCCTGTCCTGGGGACGCACCGTCACAAGGGAGGCCAGCAGGGCTGGGACGCAGGGGAGATTTGTGACCGAACAGCCTTGGGGTTTCTTTCTGCTCAGGCAGAATTCAAACCCTTTATCTCCTGTTCGTAGACTTCACGGAGAGGCCTTGTCTGCTGTGAATCACCTTGGAACTGTTTATATTCATCAGAAGAACCCCACAGCCTGGCTGGGAGCCGTTGGCTGTCAGGCTGAAACAGAGCAGGACCCTGTGGTCCTCTCTGCGACCTGTCCTCAGCCTGCCTTCTGTCTGCAGAGAAACTTTCAGTTCAGTTCAGTCACTCAGTTGTGTCCGACTCTCTGCGACCCCATGGACTGCAGCACGCCAGGCCTCCCTGTCCATCACCAACTCCCGGAGTTGACTCAGACTCGTGTCTATTGAGGCGGTGATGCCATCCAACCATCTCATCCTTTGTCGTCCCCTTCTCCTCCCGCCTTCAATCTTTCCCAGCATCAGAGTCTTTTCAGATGAGTCAGTTCTCGTCAGGTGGCCAAAGTATTGGAGTTTCAGCTTCAGAGAAACTTTAGTCAAAGAATAAGTTTAATCAGAGAAGTGAGAACAGCAGAAACAAAG